TCAAGATTTGTACTGTAATAACAGATTTCGTTGCAGATTAATTCGGACAACAATTGCAAACTAAGTATTTTTATAACAAGTTGGTTTAAATGAATAACCATTACAGTAACGTTGAATACTATTCACTCTATATTTACTTTTTCTTGATTTAAACTGTCCTTTAATTCCTTTCTAACCTCTACTTCTTCATGTGCTTTTGCTTTTTGTATTGATTTACTCATTTTAATCGTATACTTATTAATTTCATATTTTGTGTTATCCCACCATAGTCTTTTATCTTCATGATGCAACTCATTTTGTATTTCAGTATTTATCAAGTCCACTATTGCCTTTCTATAAGGTTCTCCTTTTAAAATTTCTGTATTTAAAATCCATATCCCTTTTCCTCTTTCGGTTTCATTAAAATCAATCTTCATTAATAAAAACTTGTGGTCGCTTAGCGCTGTTTCTTTAAAATAAACACTCTATAAAATCACCCAGTTTTTCCTTGCATAAAATAAAATCAATCCTACTTTGCTTTAAGTTACCAGCTACTAAATGTCTTCTTGAATATTCTCTTTTTCCTTCATTCCTTACTCTCCATATGTCCACTTCTTTGTGCTCTGCCATTAGTTTCTGCAACTCTTTTCTCCCAGTGTTATTCCTAAAAACCATGCCATCCGCTAAATCAGTTCTATTAAAAAATGTGTTAAAATATCCAATTAAAATAGTTTCTCCCCATAAAATCATTAGATCATTTATTGTTTAAAAAAGTCCTTCTTTTCCTTTTCTGCTACTGGAGCATGAATGTTACATAATGTTGTATTATTTTCTCTCATTCTAATAGCAAGGCATTTTCCCTCTTTATCATTGTATATTTCTTCCACATCATTCTTTATATCTTCTTTGACTAAAATAGCGACCCCTCTTTCCATCCTTCCATCACCATTGTTATAAAATATTTGCCCCCTCCATCTCCTTTTTAAATCTTCCATCATGCCATTATTCCGATTAGTCTCTTGTAAACAAATTAAGTTTTGTTCTTTGCACAGTTCCTTTACCTTGTCAAATTTTCCAACATTCAAAAGACCTCTTGTATTAAAACTAACACAATTAAAAACCATTAAAAGAAAAGATAAAAATAAATACTTAAAATTAGCGCTACCAAAATTAACGCGTTAACGCATGCGATTAATTTTAAATAATTAACGCGTTAAAAAAAATTAACACAATTAACGCATGCAGGTTTTTTTGCTTCCTGTTGTGGTAGACATGTGTTCAACATGCAATAAATGTGGATAAGACCAAGGAAGCACTTTTTGAAGGAAAGTTCCAGTATAAAACAATTAGGTACATCACAGGTTATCCAGAATTTCATGCAATTTCGGGTGTTTCATTTTTAACTTTCGACTTCTGTTGTAAGTTGACACCGCATGGCGAACAGAAACAAAATCATCCGCATTTCATGACTCGGTGTTCCTTTAAGGTAAGGTTCCTTTTAAGGCTACACGGTAAAATTAATAAGAGTATTATCTTAATCATATTAAAATCGGAGTATTGGTGTCTTACGTAAATGTACTCAGTACGTCTGGTGAAGTCGCGAGCTGTCAAAGACAGGGCATTACTCTGCCTTTCAGCATGAGCCCTCCAAGTTTAGCGTGTTTCCTCATTAAACGCAACGAAAGCGTATACTTCGCGTTGTTGTGTCAGAATCCTTGTGAAATACAGTAATACTTTAGGAGGCTTAGTTTAAGCAAATTTGATGAACTTGATCATGCGTGTTGAATCTGAGGGGAGTCGCTCCAGTATGGAAGGCCGTTGGGGCCAAAACGTCTGCAGCGCGTTGTGTGTGTCTGTCTGTGTGTTTGTCTGTGTCAGACCCGTTGAGGGGTGTCAGGGGTGGAGTGAGCGACGTATCTGAGTAGGGGCGAGAGGGGTGTGCAATGTATTTAACGACTGGTTTGCAAGAAATTATCATTCATTTGCGGGCATTTGGGAGTCTCTGTGCACTTGCGGGATACTCCTAGTCTTAGCAACTGGATGAATGTAGGAGGAAGGAGGATTAAGCAAAATTGTTTCTACTCTATAACTAATGTTCTCAACTCAGCAATAAAACTTTACAATGAGTGCAACAGTTTGTATCCTATAGTTTATTATTATAATTTTTAATTTTCCATATCTGCAATTCCTGTATTTTGGCATTTTTTTGCAGTCCACTTAGAATCCAACATGGAAATCAATGTTTTCTTTATTGGCATTGATTGTTTTGAAATTTAAATGTCATTTACATGCCTGTGTTTTAATTTCTTTAATAAATATGGCTGTCAAGCCAGGATCTTGATGGTTTATTGTGGGTATGTTGTTTGCATGAAGAAATCTGTGTTACAAGTTAAACAAAAATTCTATTAAACAATTATATTTTGAATTTAAATAATTTTTTGTCTTGCGTTTACATTAATTTTACATTTAAATAGGCAAAATTACAAGTTTCAGTATTTTAAATGAGATTAATCGCGATAAATTTTTTTTAAAAGGTGCGATTAATTAGTTAATTTTTTTTAATCGATGGACAGCACTAATATATACAGGGAAAGCTGCCCTCATATCGAACACACACTCACATATGCATAGGCTTATATTATTATTTTAAAAAGTAACAGAAAAAGGGCACTTTCTCTCCAGAAGGAAAAAGGGGCTCTTAATACAATGTGTGCCCCATTCCTATCTCTCCGCACCCCTCGTTGAGAACCAAGAGAATCGCTTTCGAGGTTAACTAGGCAGCCGCACACTTGACCCGTGTGCATAGAGTAGGTGAGATCAAAGTCCCTTTAAGATATTCTATAGTCTTTGCATGAGCTGGGATGCGGGCAGTGGACCAAACCATTGTGAGGAAGGGAAGAGGGATCTCTCAGCTGTTTCTAAATGCATTTTTTTTTTGCGTTTTTATTTTTTAATTTGCTCCATCTTGCTTTTTTTCAAAGGACACAGATGTTTAATCAGCTGTTGTTCAGTGGTGAATTAGAAAACTTAACTATTTATATTAAGCATCACCACCGTCCACCCTACATCTACGCCCCTGTATGAAGTAGTGTTCTAGGTTATAACGATGCGTAAAGAATGCTCCGGCTTCAATACAGTGCGTTACAGTACATGACTGCCCCCTACTGTTCATGTCTTTATTTGCTAGACCATCTTTCCGTGCTAACGCGCCATATGTCGTGGCCATGCGAGATCACTTTGTTTCATGCGCGCGTTAGTTCATGCCAGATCTGTATATACATTTACCTGATTTTATTTTTTTACTTTTTGTTGCCCTGTCACCTGCTAAAAAAGCGGGGGATGTAGCTTCTTGTGTGTCAAGTGACGTAACGGAAGTGGGTGGAGCTAGAGGGGAACGTCGGTGGTGGGAGCGACAGAACAGAAAAGCTTGTTACTGCTGAAGAACGTAATAAAAATAAGCTAGAAGCTATTACTTGTGTGTGTGTGTGTGTGATCATCTAACATCTACACAAGCCATCCAACTTCCCCTTCCACCACTACAATGTCCATCCATCCATTCATTTATTCATTTTATTTTGTGAATGTGTTATTTTTCAGGCTGATCTCAGAAATACAGTAATTTTTACTGACAGAATTTTAGGTGCAGGCTAGGACTGTCTCTGCCATTTGCAGATAACGTTGTCTTTTTGGCTTCATAGGACATGGAACTTCAGCATGCAGTAAGTGGGATTGTTTGCTGCTGAGTGTGACATGGCAGGGAAAGAAACAGCACCTCTAAGAAACCATTGTGCTTGACTGGAAAAAGGTGGCCATCTCCAGTTTGGAGGAGAGTCCTTACCCCAAATGGAGTTTAAGTATCAGTGTTTTCCATGAGGAATGGAATGTGAGATTTAAAGATGGATCAGTGCAGCGGCAGCAGTAATGCAGTTGATGTGGTTGTCTGTTGTGGTGAAGGATCTGAGACGAAAGGCAATGTTCTTAATTTACTGCTCATGCTAGGTTCCTACTCTCACCTATGGTCATGACTGAAAAGAACAAGATCTTGGATACAACCGGCCACATTTTGCGAAGTGTTATGACCCGCTTGTTAGAGTCGCACCATAAGAGTGCCAACAAAATAGCCTGAATGCAAATTATTTATTATAAAAGTAACTCATAGAACAAACAATCAAAGCAACCAACAAATTTCTAGGGATAATAATGACGATAAAGAACTTAGGATAAAATCACAACAACACTTTGACTACATGACAAAAGTAATGCAAAACAAAACCATAAGGTTAAAGAGCCAATGAGATGGCAGGTCTTGACATGTGGACTCCCGAGTAGCCACAGTGTCCTGGGGTAGCTAGCACAACAACTTTTATATACCCATTGATGAGTAATGCAGGCATCCAATCAGAATTTACCACATGCTCTAATCTGGAGTCATCACAGTGTATAAATATTGTAAAACTTAATACCTGTCGCTCTGCCTAAATCATAAAATATTCATCAAGTTTGTATTCGACTCAAAGTAAAAGAAGTAAACTAGAAAAATCTAGAATCTAAAAGTAAAGAAACTTCACTAATAAAAGCTGCAACACAGGACAATTGAATGGGCTTTTAAAACTTGAGGCCCTGGTATACTGCAAACTAAGCGTCCTAGAGCTCCACCTTCTTTGATGTGCGGTGTCTTCCCAGTGATGTCTCTCATTCAGGGAGTCAGACAGTGAACATCATCTAAAACAACACTAGCTACATGAATACACTGGAGAGAGTACAAATTTATCTGCACTGGTACAATCACTTGCAAAGAGATTTTAAGCTGCAGAGGAGCTGTTGGCCAGATGTTTATGACAATTCTTTTCTCAGCCACCACCACGGTGTTTACGGTAAACGCGAGAAGCGCAACACATTTACAACCCGACCTACTGCAGTGTAGGAGTGTTGGAAAACAGTATATCGTCACTCAGCCTTTTCAAACATTATTCAGACATGAAACATCCAGTGCACAGAGAAATTTTTGCTGCATTCATGTCATGTGTGTAACTTTTTTCTCTATGTGTTTCTTAAGCTGCGCCGAATGATTAAAACTCTGTAGACACTGATCAGATCTGTACGGTTTCTCTCCAGTGTGAATCCTGTTGTTTTCAGATGTGTTAACTAATTAAACCTCTTGTAAAAACACTTGTACGGTCTCTCCAGAGTAAATTGTCTGGTGCAGTTTCAATTTTGGAGCTGTAATAAGTCTTCTCACACTCAAAGCGCATATACTCTTTCACATCAGTGTGGATTTTCATGTGTTTATTAAGGTTTGCTGATCGGTTGAATCTCTTCCCACACTGAGTGCATGTGAACGGTTTCTCTCCAGTGTGGGTCTTACATAGTCAAGTGATGCAATTTCCAAGGTCAAAGTTCACCAAGCTTGAACCTTGCAAGGCAGTGAATTGCGAAACTTGACGCACAAACTTACGATTCCAGTCTGACACATTTGCGTGCGTATGAATGAAAGTCTATGGAGAGAAAAGTCCGGTGTGACCACAGACCCCAATTTTATCCTCCTTACACTGGCTGCCTGTTAAGTTTTGTATTAAATTTAAAATATTAATTCTCACCTATCTAGCTCCTGTTTATCTTCTGTCTCGCTACAATCCAACTCCCTCTTTAAGATCTCGAACCTCCGGGCTTCTGGTAGTACCTAGAATAGCAAAGTTGAGTAAAGGAGGTCGAGCCTTCTCATTTATGGCTGCTAAACTCTGGAATAGCCTCCCTGATAACATCCGAGGCTCAGACACACTCTGTCAGTTCAAAACTAGATTAAAGACCTATCTGTTTAGTAAAGCATACACTCAATACATCACTTAGCGGGTTTCCACACAAGTTTCTACATCTTGCTTATATACACTATGAACAGCAGCTACGCTAATTATTCTTTTTTTTTTTCTTCATTTCCACCTGGGGATAATCATCCCGAGGTCCTCAGATTATGCGGAGTCACTGATTGGATCTAAGACCAGCGACGAGATGATCCCAAGGTTTCCATATCCGGGACCAGGCCGTATCCTGAGCTGCTGCTGCGCTGGTGGTCGTGGGGAGTGGAGAACATGAGTCTGATTCCAGCGACGCTCCAGGGACAGACGAGTCTTCGCTGAGGCCAGCTTCCAGCCTCCACTGCTGAGACTGCAGCTCTGCACAAGACTTTTGGCCAGCGGAGAAATGAAAATGGTCGTGCCCAACTGAGTCTGGTTTCTCTCAAGGTTTTTTTTCTTCACTCCTATCAGTAAAGTTTTTTTTTTCCCTCTCCGCTGTCGCCACTGGCTTGCATGGTTCAGGATCGGTAGAGCTATGCATCAATGGATTTGCTCTTCAGTGTTTGGACTCTCAGTAATGATTTAAATCACACTGAACTGAGCTGAACTGAACTTAAACACTAAAAACTGAACTACCCTGATCCAATTTATTATGACCATTTATGTGAAGCTGCTTTGACACAATCTACATTGTAAAAGCGGTATACAAATAAAGCTGAATTAAATTTAATTAAGAGCAAGTGAATGGTTTCTCTCCAGTGTGGATCCTCATGTGTTTATAAAGGGATGATGATTGGCGAAAACTCTTCCCACACTGAGTGCACATTATTGGTTTCTCTCCAGTGTGGATCCTTATGTGTTGATTAAGGTGTGATGAGCGGTTGAAACTCTTCCCACACTGAGTGCAAGTAAATGGTTTCTCTCCAGTGTGGGTCCTCATGTGTTTATTAAGTGATGATGCTTGGCGGAAACTCTTCCCACACTGAGTGCACGTAAATGGTTTCTCTCCAGTGTGGATCCTTATGTGTTGATCAAGGTTTGATGAGCGGTTGAAACTCTTCCCACACTGAGTGCAAGTAAATGGTTTCTCTCCAGTGTGGGTCCTCATGTGTTTAGAAAGGGATGATGATTGGCGAAAACTCTTCCCACACAGAGTGCACGTTATTGGTTTCTCTCCAGTGTGGATCCTTATGTGTTGATCAAGGTTTGATGAGCGGTTGAAACTCTTCCCACACTGAGTGCAAGTAAATGGTTTCTCTCCAGTGTGGATCCTCATGTGGTGATCAAGGTTTGATGAGCGGTTGAAACTCCTCCCACACTGAGTGCAAGTAAATGGTTTCTCTCCAGTGTGGATCCTCATGTGTTGTTTAAGGTATGATGAGCAGTTAAAACTTATTCCACACTGAGTGCATGTGAATGGTTTCTCTCCAGTGTGGATCCTCATGTGTTTATTAAGTGATGATGTTTGGCGGAAACTCTTGCCACACTGAGTGCATGTGAATGGTTTCTCTCCAGTGTGGATCCTCATGTGTTTATAAAGGGATGACGATTGGCGAAAACTCTTCCCACACTGAGTGCACGTTATTGGTTTCTCTCCAGTGTGGATCCTCATGTGTTTATTAAGTGATGATGCTTGGCGGAAACTCTTCCCACACTGAGTGCATGTGAATGGTTTCTCTCCAGTGTGGATCCTCATGTGTTTATAAAGGGATGATGATTGGTGAAAACTCTTCCCACACTGAGTGCACGTTATTGGTTTCTCTCCAGTGTGGATCCTCATGTGTAGATTAAAGTTTGATGATTGGCTGAAACTCTTCCCACACTGAGTGCATGTGAATGGTTTCTCTCCAGTGTGGATCCTCATGTGTTTATAAAGGGATGATGATTGGCGGAAACTCTTCCCACACTGAGTGCACGTTATTGGTTTCTCTCCAGTGTGGATCCTTATGTGTTGATTAAGGTGTGATGAGCGGTTGAAACTCTTCCCACACTGAGTGCAAGTAAATGGTTTCTCTCCAGTGTGGGTCCTCATGTGTTTATTAAGTGATGATGCTTGGCGGAAACTCTTCCCACACTGAGTGCACGTAAATGGTTTCTCTCCAGTGTGGATCCTCATGTGTAGATTAAAGTTTGATGATTGGCTGAAACTCTTCCCACACTGAGTGCAAGTAAATGGTTTCTCTCCAGTGTGGGTCCTCATGTGTTTAGAAAGGGATGATGATTGGCGAAAACTCTTCCCACACAGAGTGCACGTTATTGGTTTCTCTCCAGTGTGGATCCTTATGTGTTGATCAAGGTTTGATGAGCGGTTGAAACTCTTCCCACACTGAGTGCAAGTAAATGGTTTCTCTCCAGTGTGGATCCTCATGTGGTGATCAAGGTTTGATGAGCGGTTGAAACTCCTCCCACACTGAGTGCAAGTAAATGGTTTCTCTCCAGTGTGGATCCTCATGTGTTGTTTAAGGTATGATGAGCAGTTAAAACTTATTCCACACTGAGTGCATGTGAATGGTTTCTCTCCAGTGTGGATCCTCATGTGTTTATTAAGTGATGATGCTTGGCGGAAACTCTTCCCACACTGAGTGCACATGAATGGTTTCTCTCCAGTGTGGATTATCATGTGAATCTTAAGTTTGCTTTTGCTTGCCAAAATCTTTCCACACTGAGTGCAGATGAAACAATTCTTGTCTCTCCTTTTCAAAATACCATCAGTCTGTAAATGAGTTTTTTCCTCAATTTTGACATGATGTTCCTCCTCTTTCCTCTCATTCTCTTCAATTAGGTCTGAAATAAATAAATAACAGATTAATTTTCATTAAGTCTAAAAATCTCTCATCAAAAGCTGAAAAGTAAAAAGACACTGGAAACATTGGCTACACACACTTATTTTGATGCATGTTAAATGTAAAATAAAATCAGATCATATTTTGTTCAGTCATTAACCTGTACACATTTAAGCAGATTAAATTCATCTTTATTTATCTACTGCTTTTACAATGTAAATTGTGTCATAGTCGCCTAACATAGAAGTCATTGTAAATTGAAATGCTGTCAGTCTAGTTTTCAGAGTTTCCTACATAATTGATCATAAAAGTAATTTTGGTCACATTGATAAGACACAGATTTGAAAGGTGTAAATGGTGTGACAACCCCGGTATTCTACTTTGGATGTGGAAGATCCTGATTAGGTGCCATGGTTGCTCCCCAATTGGTTCAAAGCATATAAATGCGAGAGTGAGCTAGCTTCTGCAGGATAGTGTGGCTACTGGCCGTCTTCGCATCAAGACCATCTCTTTATTTTGGCAATCTTATGGTTTTGTTTGGCATTATTTATATGTGTAGTTAAAGTTAGTTATTTTCTTCATTTTCCCCTAGACATTTGTTTGTTTCTTGATTTGTTGTTTTATTAGTTGTGTATATTAAATAAGTTGCATATATAATTTTTTTGTTGTCTGAGCTCTTTTATGTTGCACCTCGAACGAGGGGGTCGTAACAATGGCCTATTTTTATTTGTATATATTCATAATTACAACAAAATGTTTTTCTAACATTTGTTTAGCAGACAGGGAATACTATGGATAGAATACTATGGATAAGATACTGTGGATAGAATGAAAGAACCGACAGGGGAAAGCAAAGAAGGAGGTGTTTGTTTCTTTATTAACTCATGGTGAGATAAGAGAAACATACATCCAGTTAGATCATTTTGTTCTCCTGATCTGGAATACCTTATGCTTCGGTGCCAACCACACTGGCCACCAAGAGAGGTCACAGCTGTTATAATTACAGATGTTTGCATCCACCCTCAAGCCAACACACAGAAGGCGCTTAGGGAACTGAATGGGAGCATAAGCGAGCAGGAAACCAAACACCCAGAGGCAGCGTTTATTGTTACAGGGGACTTTAACAATGCCAATCTCAGGAAAATCGCTCCAAAATACTATTACCATATCACCACAAACATGCGTGGTGACCGAATTTTGGACCACTGCTATTCTCCGTTCCGGGAAGCCAACAAATCCCTCCCCCGCCCACCGCTAAGCAAATTAGATGACTCTTCTGTTCTGCTCTTCCCTGCTTACAGACAGAAACTGAAACAGGAACCACCCACCCTCAAGACGTTTCAAAGCTGGACGGACCAATCGAGTTCCATACTTCAAGAATGATTTGATCATGTGGACTGGGAGATGTTCCGGGCAGCTTCTGATGACGACATTAAAGTTTACTCAAGACACCGTTACATGCTTCATCAGAAAGTGTATAGAAGACATGGTCCCAACAAAAACTGTTTGTATCTTCCCCAACCCAAAACCATGGATTGATGGCGAAGTTCGAACAGCCCTATCAGTGTGAACCTCCGCCTATAAATCCAGAAATGCTGAGGAACAAAAACAAGCAAACTACAACCTCAGGTAAACTATCAAAGCAGCAAAACATCAATACAGAGATACAAGGTAGAGGGAAGGAGTATGTGGCAGGGACTTAATTACATCACAAACTTTAAAAGTAACAAACCCGCCACTGTAAACATTTCTGCATCTCTCCTGGATGAGCTTAACTCGTTCTACACCTACTTTAAAGCCCAGGACACCCACACACTGTGCGCTCCCGCGGCCGATACCGAAACCGCAAGCACACTCTGTTTCTGTAGTAGACGTAACAAGATCTTTCCGGAACATCTGGAAAGCTACGGCCCAGATGGCATCCTTGGACGTGTACTTAAAGCATGCGCACACCAGCTAGCGGGGGTTTTCACGGACTTCGTTAACCTCTCACTCTCTTGGTCTGTGGTTCCCACATGCTTTAAGACAGCTACTATTGTGCCCATACCGAAATAATCTAAAACCACATGCTTAAATGACTGGCGTCTAGTTGCTCTGACACCCATCTTCAGCAAGTGCTTTGAGAAGCTGTTTAAAAAGCACATCTGCTCTGTACTGCCTGCTCACACTGACCCTCTGCAATTTGCTTACAGGAATAATCGCTCCACTGATGTTGCAATTACTTTCACCTTGCACACTGCTCTGTCTCACCTGGAAAACAAAAACACATATGTGAGAATGCTGTTTGTGGACTACAGCTCAGTATTCAACACTATAGTGCCTGCCAAACTAGTGGTGAAGCTCCAAGCTCTGGGTCTACACAGCTCTCTGTGCATCTAGATCCTGGACTTCCTGTCAAGCAGACGCCAGGTGGTCAGAATGAACAACATGACCTGATCCACACTGATGATCCACAGAGCTGTGTTCTCAGTCCACTCCTCTACTCCCTGTACACACGCGACTGTACAGCCAAACACAGCTCTAACGTCATCGTTAATTTGCTGATGACAGTGGTGGGCCTAATCACAGATAATGATGAGATGGCCTACAGAGAGGAGGTTTACACTCTGACGCAGTGGTGTGAGGAAAACCACCTCTCACTCAACATCAGCAAAACCAAGGAGCTGGGAGAAAAGAGAACACACCCCCATCACCATCAACGGGACATCAGTGGAGAGAGTCAGCGCTTTCAAGTTTCTTGGAGTACACATTGCTAAGGATTTGACATGGACTGCTCACACAGACGCAGTGCTAAGGAAGGCACAACAACGCCTCTTCTTCCTCAGGCGTCTCAGGAGGTTTGGAATAAGCCCTCACATCCTCCGCTCGTTCTACACCTGCACTGTGGAGAGCATCCTGCATGGCTGTATCACCACCTGGTATGTAAATAGCACCAGCAGCAATAGCAAAGGCCTACATAGGATTGTGTGAACTGCTGGACGCGTAGTAGGAGGTGAGCTTCCCTCCCATCACGACATCACCAGGCGGTGCATGAGAAAAGCCAAGTGAACTATAAGCGACTCCAGCCACCCAAGCCATAGACTTTTCTCTCTGCTACTCTTAGGCAAATGGTTCTGCAGCATCCGGTCGCGCACCAGCCGACTAAAGGAAAGCTTCTTCTCTCAGACTATCAGGCTGATGAACACTTAATACCCCTCACTGCACACCATGTATATGTGGCATGCACTGCACTTTAACCAATACATACCTAAAACAATACTGCCTACAACTATGGGTACACAAATCGCTGTCAACAATTATAATGGTGCCAAATTATTTTGTACTATCTGTATTTTGCACTGTCATTATATTTGCACTGTCTGTATTTTGTACTGTCTAGAGCCAGCACCTAAGCTTTTCACTCATCATAGCACACGTGCTGCGGATGATGTGACAATAAAAGTGATTTGATATTCATGGCCATTTTTTCTTCTTTGGCCTTTATTATAGCAACATTTATATATACCCCTACATACAAAACCCACAGATACCTTTCGGGTGCTTCGGATGCTTCTGATAAATTTTTTCAACAGCCCATAAAATGGGTGAAGTAAAGACAAACTTTACCAGTTGGAATGTGCGGAGGCTAAATCACCCAATAAAACGAAACAATTAAAATCAGTTAAAAACAGTTCAAATCCGATATTGTATATTTACAGGAGACACATCTGTTGAAAAATGACTATTCTAAACTTAATAGAGGAGGCTATACACAAATATATTATTCAAACTTCAATAGCAAAAGTAGGGTCGTTGCTGTACTCATACATAAGAATGTACAGTTTGTCATTGAGTCAAATGTGCTGGATAAAAATGGCAGAAACATAATAATCCAAACTTTGAACATGTCTGTGGTCCTGGCCGATGTGTATGCTCCTAATTGGGACAATGTACACATTTTCAGTGATTTATTTTCAATTTTGCCTAGTCTTGACACACACAATTTAATTTTAGGAGGCGAACCTCCTGAATTTTATTCACCTGTGCATCAAACCTATTCCAGGATTGACCATTTTCTCCTGGACAAGCAGTTACTTCCCTTACGCCCCATTCACAAGGGGCATCAGCGTCAACGCTTCCCGTTCACTTTGAATGGGTGACGTCAGGCGTTGCCGAACTGCATTGTGGGTTCGTCGACGCTGCTTCAGAGGCATTGTTCGCTGCAAAAGTTGGGACTTGATCAACTTTTCAAGCGGCGATGGAAGCATCAGCCGACAGATCGCTGTATGCAAATACACCAGCTCAGACTGTGGCCTATTGCTGACTAAATTCATTGGCTAACGCTGCTATGACGATCACGTCAGCCCCAACTTCAGACACGCCCTCTGTCAAGCGTTGACACTGAAGCCCCGTGTGAATGGGGCAATAATGTCAGCAGTAGTGTATGGTAGTATTGTTATTTTGGACCATTGTCCAGTCTCTCTAAAGCTATGTTTTCAGGCAATGGAATCCTCCAACATACATGGCGGTTTAACTCAAGACTCTTGGTAGACGACGATTTTGTAAAAGTTATTGATGCTTAAATTTATTTCTTCCTTGAGATAAACGAATCCCCAGAGATAAGTTTGAGCATCCTATGGTATACTCTGAAAGCATTTATAAAAGGACAGATTATTTAATATCAAGCTAGCGCAAATAAAAGAATGTCAAAACGGCTTACAGACATTATGAATTAAATAATACAATTGATCAGCTACACTCAACATCACCTTCTGAAGAGCTCCATTAGAAAAAACTTCTTCTGCAAGCGGAATATGACTCCCTGACAAGTGAAAATGCAAAGGATCTCCACATAAGATCACGCTAGATTCATTATGAACATGGCAAACGAGCTGCCAGGTTATTGTGTTACCAACTGTAACAATCCT